ATCATGACTAGCATGGTGTTCTCAATTATGGGCTCTACTAGTTGACCCTTCCAATCCCCCACAACAAATGCGTGGAAGTCTTGATGAAAGTGAGGGAAAGTGCTTCCGCAGATATTTCTTTTTTGCAAATTTTGTTGTTATATTTCAGTTATTACAAACAGTTTTGATGACTTAACAAGAAAGTAACAACAGCACTGAGATGTTGACGTGAAGTTACGTCCACAAACAAACTTATAAACATGCAGATATTTTTATTTGTTATTATTATTATTATTATTATTATTACTACTTGCGTGGTTTTCCTATACTAAACTAGTGGAAATAGTTATGGAGTACAAACACTTGGAGGAAATAGCAGGTTGTGCATGTTCAAAGCTAGTACACGGTAAAGACAAATATATACATGTATAAAATAAACAAATTGGGAAAGATCTGACTGGACTGCCAGGCTGTCGGTTTGGCGGACATATGAGCAGTGTCAATCAACAAAGCTGTTCAAGAGGAATTCGTAAACACCCATTTTAAAATCAATATATACTTCTAATTCTTTATATTAACGAAGAAACCTGACGCTGGGGAAATCACAGTGAAAACCGCCAGTGCTTGACTTCCGAGAACATGACCATGTGGTGCGACTTAACCCCAAATTATTAGCCATGTGGGTGGACAGGCTGGATCAGGATCGCGCCAACGACTGGCCAAGACCCCTTCTGGTTTAGTCCACATCAGCATCGCGATTCCAGCTTGGCTACCAACTGTTCCCACTGAGCTGGCTCGCGCCCGTGACGAACAGCGCGCAGACGACTTCAAAACCATCGAAGTCAGGTCGGATTGGATGTGGGTAGGAGTCAGTCACGAACTGACAGATGGCAGGTTTTTGGGATCCAGGTGTCGGTTTTATTTGGTGAGTCACCCCTCGAAGAATCCAGTTGGACTTGGTGATGTGGGCAAGGCTTGGAGCCTTGAAGCCTTGGAGCCATTGCTTTTTACCTACAAAGCAGTGGCCATGGTAGAGTCCACCTTGGTGAGCGGGGGTTGTGAAACCGGTTCCATTAAAACCCAGGAAGGAGTAGCTGCTGGTGTGGGGGTTTTATAAATTTTTGGCCCCTTTTTCCCACCATTTATAATTGCTAATTGTGGGGAATTGAATGAAAGTCTCCTCTAAATCTCATGCACAGCATCCAATATCGTTGCAAAAAGATGGGGACATGAATTAGGGTTTCGCCAACCACGCCCAAATTTTGTTGTTTTTATTAAATAACCCAACACTGGGAGTTAGATGAGCGGCATGTGGTAGGTCTTTAATTCTTCATGTGACTGGTAGATTGAATTGCACATCCAATTCAACAATTATGTGCCCAGGGGATAAAAATGTGGGCGTGGAATTGCGAAGCTGGGGAATGAGTAAAGTGTTAAGGTAGTCAGTCATAACACCTTTTGCGACCATGAGTTAAAAAAACAAAGGGGCGTTGTTAATCGCATGGTTCCTCGTGAGAGCTTTCGAAGGAAAACACACACAATTGAGAAATCGCTCACATAACTTCATCTCGAACTTTGTTGCTTCTTAGTTAACCCCGGTAGACTCACAATGCAACCATTATTTAAACAAGAAAACGTAGCTCTGCTTTGGGAGGGGGGATCCCAATTAGGGTTTGCTAAGCACAGCTAGGGCATGGGATTAGACTCACATGACAAGCTTTCGGTCACAAAAAGATTGCCTCATTCGGTCATCCGCTTAGCATGAAATCAGTTGGGCCACACTTTAGGCAAGGCTTACAGAAAAGAGTGGACATAAGTTCTCACAATCGCTTAATCACCTAGCTTTCCCCCCTGAACACCAGGGTTTCCGAGCGTGGTTTGAAGTGCGCATGTTAGCAGCACCCCATCCGAATACCCCTAGAGATCCACGGAGAATTTGCCGTTTCCATGATGTGGGGGTTCTATAAACGCTCTGCCAATCAGCCGGGCGAGAGCATATTTCCTTAAGTTCTGGGCTCGAGCTTATAACTATCATGTTTAATTATAGAAACGCGTGTAACCTGCTGAATTTTATAGTATGGTACCCAATGATCGCCTAACAATGGTGTGATCCATTTCACATTTAATAAGTCGAAGTCAATATCATGTCAGGGGAATGAAATTCGATATGGCATGGTGGGAAACGCGCAGGGTAGTAAATTTGTGGTTGTTAAATGCTCAAACAATCGCTGTAACCGTCCAGGATCCACTCATCGTACCAGAGTAATCACAACAGTGTCTTCACAATCATTAAAACCAGGATCAACACCAAAAAACATGGGCACACACAATTTTGTGCGAAAAAATATAAAAAATATATAGTAATCGACTTTCTCAGTTCACCTACGGAGGCATGACGAATCATGTGATTTTTGTTTTACCGCATTCCTCATACAAGTCAATAATAGGGGGTGGGAGGGGGAATCATGGACTGAGATGGGTCATGGCTACACGACGGCAACAATCGACGCCTGAGGGACTTTCGACTGCTCCGTCGTCATGCTCGGCTGCAGGTCTAAGCGACTTCAGTTTCAAGGATCAATTGGCAGTGTGACCAGAGGGCAGCAGCCTGATTGCAAGGTCGGAAGGTGCGAAGACCAACCCAGACATGACCGGGGTGGGTGGGTAGTGGTGGTGGTGGAGCCGAGAATTTGTCGAACCAGAAGGGGGGGGCAATGGCACGACAAATTCTTGGAAATGGGAACTCAGAAATTCCTCTTCAACGACGACAGATGCTGCTGGACACGTTTGCCCCTCGTGCTCACCTGCACCACCACCCTACTCCTCTGCCTCTGTCCGGACTGGTGGTTTTCGCCTCCACACCACCCCACCCCCCCTTTTGCGCCGTTTCGGTTTTTTTTTTTTTTTTTTTTTTTTTTTTGTTTTTACCGCTGCCATCTGGACGAGTGAGAGGATTTGTGAGTATTAGCCCAACCGTGATGAACCTACAGCGAGGGTTCTGACCGTCAAAGACACGATACCTACGCCGGTATAAAAGACCGGTTTGACGTGGAGTACTTTTTTTCTCAGACACCTATACTTTCAGGCGTCGGGGGTAATGAAGGCTAACCCTTGGGGGAAGAGCAGAAAACACATGGGCGCTAACGCCTCTCGATTGGTGCATTTTCACGGCGGCGAGGTTGAACATTTTAAGGGGGTCTAAACACACACGATGGTTGCCACCACGCCATTACCCAACACGAGTCGTCATCTTTCGGGGTTTTCCAGCAAGCGCGAGCCGTTTGGATGTTACTTTGTGGCGGCATCTTTTTGAACAGTGACCGCAGTTGGCACATCAAACTGGGGTTGGGAGGAATAGGAGGGGCAAAAAAAGAGAAAAATACATACAATAACAAGACAACATGCTCTGGACGACGGCTCATGAGGGAGTGCATGCCAGAGCACGGCACGAAAAATAGTTTTGATATTTCAGTGGCTATGTGAGTTTTTTTTTTTTTTTTTTTTTTTTTTGGGCGATGACGGCATATTCCTGAACAAATCCGATTGACCGTGTGAGTGGCATGGCGATGCTCACCCGTCAATCGTTTTTGTCCGCCCAGCACACGATCAATTGGCGCTATCTGGGTAAGTCTCTCAGCGGTTGATAATTCAGTACCCACTGTAGCTGGAGAAATACCGAAGAAATGGTTTACATTCCCAGTGAAATCTCGACATGTGTCTCCAACACTCACACACGACCTCCTATGAAATTCGCAAATGGCCCTTGGAGTGTAGTGTAGATCACGGTGCCGTTAGCGGTATCACTTTCTAGTGGATTCCACACCCCTCAAGCTAGCTACCGCTATTTCGAAACATATCCTCTAGTTCCTGAATCCTTACCAAGTAAAATAAAATTATAAATAAAAATAAAAACGAAAACAAAAACAAGAGCGCAAAGGGTTTTCGGTTGGGGACCGAGGATAGGGGGAGGGATCAGAATGTCGGCTCTCGCGGCACCATATTCTGACAGGACAACACGCCACATGTGGAGCTGCGTCTTCGAATCCGAAGAATAAATCGTTGGAACGACTGAGCTATTCGTAGCCTTGCAACTCTACTGATTGACGTCATCAGGCAAATTTGAATGTCCTATGTTTGGACCACCTCCCAGAATCATACAAAATAATATTGCTCAGAAAAATAGAATGACAAAAAAAACTTTTACGACCAGAGGGTTTATCCCTGGCAAAACACTTGCGGAAAGCATTTACAGAGAGATTATTCACCCAAATTTCGAGTGGTGTGTGTCAGTAATCGTGTTTCCCCTCGGTTACGCGCATTACAGTGCTGATGCCAGCATTTGTAGCGATGGAAATGTCGCCATTACCCGGCGGTGAACGCCAATTTCAAGTCGCCATCGTCAACTACCGTCGCCCGCGGTTGCAGCGCAGTGAAGAACACTGCATAGTTACGGTGTTCTAATCTGGGGGGTTATTTGTGACAGTTGAGGGCTGCCACGGAGAAGGTAAATTTCCACCCAGCTTTAGTAGATTCGCCGCTGTGAAATCGGTTCCGTCCGGTCGACTACGTCGGCGTGGTGGGTGAATTTATTTTTTAGTTTTTAATTATTTTTTAGTTTTTTGTTTCCAGAGTGGTAAGATCATCGTGTGCATCAAGCAGCAACAGGGAAGGGAAGTCGGACAACAAGGACACTGACTGCATCTTCGGTTTTCCGTCGGCCGGACGAATCTTGAGGACCCAGTGGGCTAGCGAAGGAGCAATTCCATGGCAATCCAATATCGTTGGCAAATTCCGTCGTGTGCGAGGGTCTGTTTCCATTTCAACACTTGAAAGATCCGCGTTCGGGGTGTCCCCACTGGCCCTATGAGATCCCGTCCGTCGTCGGAGTCTCTCATTCTTCGTTCGACGACAGTTGCACGGGGACCAACTGGGCAGACTATTCCGTCCTTCGGAGGCAATACCAGATCTGCTTCTGTGAGAGTTGGCGATTTTAATCCGTTGTGGTCACTTTTCTGTTTGCTGAAGATCCAATCTCGGTGAATAGTTGGGTTTGTGACATCTTGCCACAGAGGTAATAGGCAGATGCGCGGAAATTAGGAAGTTTTTTTCGGTTTTTTTTTACGATTTTGGAAAATCGATTTCCTCCCTATTTAATGGGAGCAGTTGGAAGCTTGAGAGGTAGTGGTGGAAGGTTGATGTCCCGACGATTGGCCAGGGACACTTCCTCCTCCCGACCAACCTGACAGCTCCGTGTAGTTTATTGTTTTTTCTACCTGGAGCCTCATTTATTTATCTCGCCCCTCAACTTGCGTCGCGCAGGGGGGCTATATCAGTCCTCCGCGCGAGACAGTCTGCTCGCTTCGTTTGTTGTTGTAGTCCCAAGAGGTACCAGAGAGACTTCCGAGCACGTCTGGAGTTGCTCCACAAATCCAAGAGAAATGAAAGCGCAGCGGTAGAGCACGAAGAGAATTGAGAAAGGCTGAGAACGTTTCAGAGGATTGTTTGTTTTGTTAATTCGTCTTTCCTCTGAGCGATTTTAATCTGGATTGGGAAGAAGCAGGAAGCAGGAAACTAGTGATGGCAGGGCAATCGTGGATCCGGGGAAAGTTGTTAGGAGTAGGAAGCTTTGGAAGCGTGAACCTTGCGATTGACAGAGAGGACGGTGAGGTGTTCGCGGTGAAATCTGTACAATTGAACGAGCGCGACGCTGGGTCAGAGGTTGCCTTGCGCGCGATTGAAAATGAGATTGAAATCCTGCAGAAATTAGATTCCAGGTTCGTTGTGAAATACTTGGGAAACGACTGGACTGACGAGGGTGGTCAATTGATGCGCAATATTTTTCTGGAGTACATGCCCGAAGGCTGCCTGACGGATTTCGTGAAGCAGTTTGGCAGTTCGTTAGATGAGCACTTGCTGAGGACATACACCCGCAGCATCGTAGAGGGCATTGATTACCTCCATAGCCAGGGAATTGTGCACTGCGACATCAAGGGAAAGAACATCTTGGTTGGCAACGGCAGCGTGAAGCTCACAGATTTTGGATCCGCCAAGAGGGTCGACATGGAAGTCGAGGTCGCTGAGAACGACCTCGTGAACTGCTCGGCGAAGGTTAATGGTACGCCGTTGTGGATGGCGCCCGAGGTTGTACGCCAGGTTGAACAAGGACCCGCTTCTGACATTTGGTCTCTGGGATGCACCGTTGTGGAATTAGCAAGCGGTAGAGCGCCATGGGGCAACCTCGGGGGGAACCATTTCGCCGCACTTTACCACATTGGATGCACTGACGAGCTGCCTTCGGTGCCAACCTCGCTCTCCGCTGTAGCGCACGACTTCTTGTCGCACTGCTTTCAGCGCGATCCACGAAGGCGATGGACGAGCGCCCAGCTGCTCAAACATCCCTTCCTAACGACGCGGTTTGTGCCAGCTTCAGTGGCGGTAAAGGCCCCCTCGTCGCCAATTAGCGTGACGCAATTTCCCGACAGCGATGACTCCGCGTCGTTTGTGAACTCGGTGCCTACGCTCGCAGCCGCGCCCTCGCTCATCAAGCGTGGATTGGTGAGCGCGCAGTCTCCCGTTGAGGAGAACTGGTGGAGCACCCCTGCGGGCATCCCTGATTCGGGGCCATGGATCGTGGTTCGATCACCCAAGAGCTCCTCTTCTCCTCCCTCCTTCGCGTTGTCGAATTGGAGGACCCCTGTGTCTGCAATCACTCCCTCTGCTGAAGCTTCAATCGAAGCACACGAGGACGAGGATTTGGGCACCGCTTTCGATGTTCTCCAAACTCTCTCGAGTCCAGTTTTGCACATTTCATCTTCAGTGGAATCGGAGGCTGCTGCATCCTCCGATGCCGACGAGTACCCACACATTCAAATCATCGCAAACGGCGAGAATTTCTGTCAGTCCGCTCTTTCCGATGCGGATTCTTCAGTTGTGGGTACCTTAGATTCAAAGGGAGCTAATTCTCCTGTCAGTTTATTAGATTTGGAGAATTTTGAGGTCTCCTCCACGAAGCACGCAGTTTTAATCCCCGGCAATAGTTTGAATTTAGGGTTGGCTGCTCTAATCGGCACCATCAATGAGTACTCTGAGGGGGTTTTCCAATACTCAAATGCGCAGATTCTTCTTTACTGGTATATTAGAAAAGTGTGGCTCAGATCTAATAGAGATATAGGAATCTGGCGACCTGTTCACAATTTAGACCATTGTATATTACAATTACTTGTGCAATACACAATTCCTGCATCATTTACACCCAATAGAATAACTCGTGTCGATTCCTTTCATTTATCTACATCAGTTGAATACGATGTTGTGTGGTAATTGTATGTTCATATTTCGTTGCATTGTCTGTGCATGTGACAATCGATTAACAGCCTCCCGGTGCATACTCTTCCTCTTTTTCTGCGTCTTCTACTTCTTCTTCTTCTTCTTCTTCTTCTTCTTCGTCATCTGCTTCTTTCACTCTTTACCGACGTCGAAGAGGAAGACGAGCCATGTCGAGATTTCAACCAAGTCTGCTTTGCGTCGATGTGTTTTCTACATTGATTGAAGACAATCCCTGGTTATGCACACAACAATGGCTGTGGTGTGGCGTGAGGGGGGCTGCGTATCACAGGTTTTGGGGACACGGACGAGCAGGGAACCGGAACAGCTCAGACCGTTCAATACTATGACACCAATCATGCTGTGGTTCCTTTTTTCTGGCAGTATGTGTGCACATCGTCCTAGTTCTTGTGATGCCTCTTTAAGGGAACAGCTATTGGGTGGTGTCAGAGCCCCAGGCCTGACACACACACACACACACCTACGCCTTGGTTGGAACTACTACAGTGCTCCACACATCTGTTCTGTCAGAACCACCCCCTTAACGTTTCACCTTTGAACTTGCTCATTGGCCTCTGTACCAGTTCCAACTCTGTTAGTTCACCTTTCCAACCATCAGGTTACTTCCGTATGAAAGCAACAATGGCAGAGCCAGCAGTATTCGTGTGCACCCGCTGCGTTTATACTTCACCAATTTGTACCTGCAGTTTAGGATTATTACTCAAGGGCCTGCAGTTTGTTTGTTTGTTTGTTTGTTTTTTTCCACAATCCATGCCGCTTATCAGGACATGCCCCATCTTTAGTTTTTTACATTTATTATTTTATTCGCAATAGTCCTTTTTCTTCTACAAAGATTCATTTATGTTTGTTGTTGGTATCAAAGTGCTGGATGGAATTTGGTGAAGGATTCTGCGACACAATGAGTAAAGGTGTCTGCAGAGGCTCTGCACCATTGCAGAACCAAGTTGATGAGTGTTGCAAGCATTAGCCGATTCCGAAATGATCACCATCCATCCACTTCTTCCATAAAAAAGCTGAAGCTGGCTTTGCTGATCATCACCCAGTACCGGAAACGGCACGCGAGAGGTTGAACTTATTTGCCTGGCTGCAGGGTGCATGATGCGAATATATAAGTGAGGAGAGGGAGGGGAGCATGGCAGGTCTGGATGTCTTCCACCAGGGGAATATCTCTGTCGATCATCGATCGGGTCCAAAGGCAATAATGCTGCAGCTGGGCAGTTTTTTCTCATTGACACTGGATTGAACGCCGAAGCTGCAAGCCTCGGAAAAACCAAATGATTGGTCGCCAAAGTTCACCATGTGAGCTTTCGCAGAGGAGTGACCAATTATTCGGTTCCATCCGAGAGGGGCCCTTTGTGTAGCTGTACTTAGTTTGACGGAGGTGATAATCTACTACGATCTGGAGTGTGCTCCAGGTGTGGCGTATGCAAGCTTCTCACTTCGTTGTGCACAGAGAGCTGGGAAACCTGTACGCGCACGCCATGGCGATTGCAGAGCCCAACTTTGGGATCGACTTCGTACCTACTCGCCCGTCGCCTAACTCGCCTGCGACCTGCGCACTAGTGTCCCCTCTACATGCCACGAATGTACATACATGAGTAGGTGGGAAAGGTCACACAAGTTGGGAGGAGGAACCTGTTAAAGACATTTAATTCCACAAGCTACGACTCGACTTTTATGGGTGCGTTCACTCGGCGTTGGTTGATTCTTTTACAGCTGACCTGCTGAGGATTGGACTCATGCGAGTCCGAAAGTTGGCACAACTACTGCTCCGCTTGCAGATGAGACCCGAAATGGAGCAAGGGGACAATATGGTTGTGTTTGAAAAAAAGCAGAAGACAAACATGATACAGCAATGTCGGCTGCCTTGGTCGAGACTTGGTTGTGAATTTGTTCGTTGCTCGAGTAATGTTTTTTAATTTTAGATTTTATTGTGGTCTTGCGCTCCGTCTGGTGGGGGGTAGAGGGAGGAGAAAGACTTCAAAGGAATTGCAGCCTTCGCCGCCGCTCCAAATACCAGAGGCATAATAGCTGTGAGTGTCAAGGAACAAGAGCCCATTAAAGAGAGAGGATCAAAGGACCAGAAAGGAGAAGGGCTTTCATGTCAATCAGAGCTGCGGTTGTGTCGTCTGCTTCACTGGTTGTGCTCCTTGGATTCATGCTAAATGGATTCCTGGAATGAGTCAATGCGGTACTGCAGGAATTAGATTCCTTTTGCGGGAGATGATTGTGAATCCATCGCCAACTGATATGGTCGAGAGCGCTGCGACGGTTGCTTTCATCTTTTAAAAGCTGGCTCGTAGTGTTGAGCTTGAATAGTCAACTTCATCCTTTCCCTATTTCTCATTGGTCTGAAGGAATATTTGTACACGGCGACTGAAATACAGCAATACCCACCCAGGGTCAACGTTCAGACACAAACTCAAAAGTGGGCTTGTTAGTTAAGACTCTGATTTGCAAACCTCGCATTAGTTAACACGTCACAAAACTACTTTCCTATACACAGAAAAAGGGCAAAAAAAGGGCAAAAAAAGGGCGAAAAAATAGTTGTGAAAATTGACCAAATGCAGACCTAGACCCTGTTAGATCCCATTACAGCATTTAAGCTTCCCTTCAATTATTTTTTTCTGTATGTGAGCGTTTCTAAAGTAGAGACCTAATGTAGTGGCTCAGTCTCACTATTCTTTCTGCTGCTGCACAATCAATTAGCACATGCAATATTAACTGAGACACTCAATCAAGAGGTGAGGAAAATACGCTCTAACTTACCGCAATCGCAGCTTGAAGCACCACTTCCTTACACAAAAGCACCTCTCCTGTCAGCTCCAATCCGTCAGAATCAGCAGCTCTCCGCGCCTTCCTCTCCGCGGCAAACAACTGGGTATGAACAAACGCCACAAACGACAACTTCAAAACAATTGCGTGCGAGAACTCAAATTAACAGGAGAGAGATCATACGCTAATGGGAGCGGTTTAGAAGATCGAGTTTGTTGAAACCTCGCAACCGCAGGCATTTGAGAATGGAAAGTTGCGACCAACTCTAAACCCAATTACAAATTCGAAAAGCATAGGCGATTCAAACCATAATAAGGGGAGAATTTCACACGTTGCCGCAACTTCAAACCTCCAAAAGTAACCGAATCTCGCCTACACCTCAGCGATCGACAAGGTTCCTTCTTTGTGCCATTGGAGCCTGTCCACGAAACCCTAAAATTCAAACCTCATCTCTTCAAGCATGACTTGGATGCAACAACTGGATGAATGAAATTTGCATATTTCATCGACGACTGCGTATCTTTCATCCATCGACACCGTATTCTACGTGTTGATTAAAGTGTATGATTGAAGTGTTTTCATGCTTGGTTACGTTCTTCCCTTTTATTTACAATTTGTTTGTATGGTGAAATTTTGCCAATTTTTTTTTATTTCTTTAAAAAAAATAATAAATTATCATTATTATAGTTGGTCAAGCATTGTAGTATTTCATGGTGTGATTTACATACAATGTACATGAAATGGTTGCTTATGATGGTTTATTATAATTATTATGGTGATGAGACTTCTAACACAATTAATCTTGCAAGGAATGATTATTTGAATTGTTTTGTGTTAATAATACAAGAAATTAAAATTCATTATGTGCATATCAACATGTTTTGATTAACGAATTTTACTTTTGAACCTTTTATTTGATTCTATAGGAACTTTTTTTTTTTTAGATGATTAAGACATGATGGTTGTTGAATTAGTTTGTTATAAAATTTAAAAATAATTAAAATTATATATTTTAAATAATAATAATTTAATTAAAATATTATACATTAGTGGTTTTACATTTGAATTTCATTTTTTAAGCAAAAGATTGCATTTAGAAAAGAAGATATCAGATAAAATTCATGTCTGTTATTTTTTGACATTTTCTTCTAAAACTTCGGTATTATGTTGAAAATCATTCACAAAATTAAAAGATATTGAATAAAATGTAAATGTTCGATAGGACCAAGTAGATTTTTAACAACTCATGTCCCTTTTATCATTTGCTTTAACAATGAAAAAAAATATATTGATTTTTTTTCTACGCATCATCAACAGATGTACATCAAATAAGATAAATTCAAGAATATATCTAATGTTCATCAAAATAATACTATTGTAATATACTCCTTTTGATATTAATGATTTAACTTGAACTTAGGAAACATTTTTATCCATGTTAATTTAATTTTTTTAAAATATTTAATTTCAACTTGAGTGCATGATATCATTGATAATTTTGTTCAGTTTTATTTTATCCCTTCCACTATAAAATGGCTTTGATGACACAATACTTTTGTTCTTGAAAGTAGTGACATCAAAATCAAAATCAAACTCATTAAATTGTTCATTTGCTTTGGTGGCATGTGCTAATAGCATATAGCATTCAAAAACATCATTATTTGTTCTTGTTTTTGCAACTATTTCACTTTGTTGAAAAGTAGGTGTAATACTTTTTGAATTTAGAGGTTTTTTTATTTCGTTATGATCATCCATTGTAAGATCACTTGACAATTCATAGTGTTCAATGTTGTCTTTACTAATATTGTTTGGAATTGTAAAATTGTCAATAGAAACTTGAATCTTTGTATCAAAATCCACATCAAAAGTTTCACAAATTTGATTATTTGAATTAGATTGATATCCAAAATTATTGCTACAACCACCAACACCATGTGGTATGCTTTTATTAGTGGGTGAATTACAAATTGATTCATAAATAAAATCACAACTTTCAATAGACAAATTACCCACGCCCTTTGTTATTGTTGTCCCAATATCATTATCATTCAATTTTGATTGATTTCCAAGACCTGTATTTTCATTTAATCCACATACTTTTATTATAGGGTTTAATGATTTATCCTTGGTGTGGACAATGGGATTGATAATTGACTTCTTTCCAATAATTTTATCATCAACATTGTTAGTTTTGAGGTTCATGTTCTTATTTTGTTTCTTGTTTTTGAAGTCTTGAATGGTGGAAATTGTTAAGTTTTTAAATTTATTTTTGTTAAAAATAACATCAGAATTTTGAGATAAACTAGTGAGGGTTGGCATTGTGGTTTCATCTACCATAGTTGGCAATAGAGTATTTAAGTCGAAGTTTTTATAATTCTCACACACATCATTGAATTTTGTATTTACATTTAGGATAATTTGTGAATTGTGAGTACAAATTTCTTTAATAGAAGATGATTTTTTAATAATATCTTCAAACTTATTATGCTGAGTTTGCATCATTGTTTTTATTGCACTCAACAGTTCGAAGGATTTGTTTGAAATTGGAGAATCATCTGTATGTGTATTTAATTTTTCTTGAAATAATTCTTCGTTTGATATCTATCAAGACAAATAAAATTATAGAAGAGTAGTTAATGAATATTTTAATCACTATGAAATATTCAATATATGTGTGTATGTGTATATATATTTACAAGAATATTTTATTTTTTATTTTTATTTTTTACTTACAATTATTCTAAAACACATAAAAAAAAATTTAGGACCAAATCATCAAAATGTACTTTTTGCACAAAAAAATAAGTGAAAAAGAAAGAAAGAAATAAATAAATCAAACCCACTAATTTTCCAACCACTGGCTCTTCATGTAATATTTTGTCAATTTGTTCTTCAGCTTTATTTATATTCAAAGTAAGTTTGTTCAATGCTTTCAATAATACCACAAGCATATAATCACTCATTTCAATTTGTTCTTGTATCTCTTTGTAAATTTCATGTAAATCCTCCATTTCTTTAAGCAATTTTCCTATCAAAATTTTCTTCTGGAATTTTTCTTCTAAAATTGAAGGAATTGAAAACTAAAATTTTCAGCTAAACTTGAAATATCGAATACATGATTTTTAACTTTTAATTCTAAATTGAGGTAGGATTTCAATTCATCAAAGTCACAAGTTTTTTTTACAAGTAAATGAGCATTTTCATGAATTTTACATATTACACATGAATGTTCATTTAGTGTGTGTGTGTGTATATATATATATATATATATATATTACTTGTATTGTATCATAGTTTTTTCATAGTTCTTTTTTACCTTATTGTAAGCTCAAGTATAATTTCACTAAAGTAGAGTGTTAGCATTTAAAAAGTAGGAATATATTAATTTGATTTATTACTCTGTAATTTAGAGTTTGGTTTTCATTATTAGTAATTCTGATTTTTGAAGAAACCACTGTGCTATGGCTTCTACGCTTTTTTGTTATGGTATTTATATCAGATATTAACTTGGACATTTCAAAATATGGTTGCCTTTGTTTTCATACCTTATTTTTATGAAAACGTTTTCAACTTGTTGCAACACATTAAACAAATATTTTCATCATAGACAAAATACCTTTACTGTCATTCAATGACTTCAATCACTTTAATCTTGTGATGTATAAAAATGAAGTAAAATAAAATAATATCATTTTAAACATTAGATTGCCTTTATCTATTTTCAGAACTGATTTCCTTGTGAGCTTGTACACATTATTTGGCTTTCTTTGCGCTTATACTTTCTTTTCTTTTTATTTATTAATACCTTGCATTAAATGAAAAATCATCAATTCTTTAATCAGCAATTGATTAACGTGCATGTATATGTTTTATTATTATTATTATTATTATTATTATTCTTTTTATGGTTCATACCTCTTTTTACAAAAAAAGAAAAAGAAAAAGAAGATGGGATTCGAAAGCACTTAAAATACATATTTATTTATGTAAATTTATAATTGGTAACATCTTTATTGCCGATCCTTGTCAATTACTCTTAGAAATTTTGATAATTCTGATTTGCTTACATATATTTTTTTTTGCATGCTTTCTGATTGATGTTATTCTTTTACGTGTTTGATTTTAAGTTGTATACATAATAGGTTTCAATTCTATTTGAGTAATGTTTACTTTCTGATTCATGACCCGATTTTGTCAGTATGAGATATTATTGAATTTCGGAAACTAAATAATTTGTAAAGAAAATGTTTGTTTTATTTCTTTTTTTTGAGATGAACATGGAATATGAATATAAGTCAACTTCTCTTACATTGGTATAATTAAAAGTTCTATTGATCATGAATTTTCCAAATTTATGATTATTTTATTTTATTTCTATATTGTAAAAGATTACCAAATTTAATGACATATTTGTTTGTTTTTTTTAAGGATTATTTGCGTTATTAAGCAGACTTATTGATTTTTTCTTCTCTTCTCTTCTGCTGTTTGCATGTGTATCAAACAAATTACATTTTAGAATACTTATTTACTGATTTTAAATCAATTTATCTGTAAGTTTTATTAAATATAAATCACCTAAATTATATTAGATTTAACAAAACAATAAGATTTCATGTATGATTAAGAAATTTAGGAAATTGAATTATGATTCTATGTCTAACATGACCCATTTTGTTTAGAGCCTTGATAGTTTTATTTCGTGTTTTTGACATGTTAAAGATACATTGTTTAAAATTTTAAAAAATAATATCACCTTTCCTCCACTTCACGTTCTGAGTTCAGAATTATATACAAAAATGCAATAATAGCCAACCAAGGAACTGCATCTATTTCCATGATTTAAATATTACATTGCTTTTTTTGTTTTTTTGTTTTTTCTCTTTGAAGTGTATTAAAACAAGTAAATAAACGGATTGAGCAAGACTAATAAATGGAAAGACACATTTCATGTCCATTCAATGATTGGACTATCACATGCCTTGTGAATAAAAATTACAATATTTCTACTACACATTGTGGTGGACATTATAATTTTTTTATTGAAACTTAAAATTTTATTTGTACAAAAAACAAAATTTCCATATTAAATTGTACATGATTTAGTATATGTACTTTATTTACATGTAAAGTGTTTTTCAAGTTCATGGCATCCCTCACCATAACATTCTAATTGAATCTTTTGTATTAAGTTTTTAACCTAATTTTAAAGGCAAATATTTGAAAAATGATATTTTGGGTGCAAATAATTGATATATGGAAATCATGATATCTTTCACTCACTTAAAAATCACGAGTTGTTTGTCACAATGTTTTTTAAATTTCCATTTATATTTTTCAAATTTAAAAGCCTAAGTTAAAATTTGAGAACCTATTCCTCGCAAAGTTTCAACCTAGAAATCCAAATCCCATCCTCCATATCGACGAGAATAAACGGGTGAACGAAAGCACGACGAACGTATAAACAAAGCAAAGGCAGACGAACGAACGAAATAACGAACGAACGAACGAACGAACGAACGTACGGAAGGACAGGACGAACAAACGAACGGCTAATAATAGATTAACAGAATTGCGACTATCGAACGAAAGACAGATAATAGATGAACAGAAGCACGATGAACGAATGAAGGAAGATGTGACAAATGAATGAAGACACGACGGATGAGAGATGCCTAACTGGATGAACGCAAATTCGTTAACATGTGAATGATTAATCTTCGACGAAGGCTACTGAAGCAACGACGAGACGGCAGCGTCGTCGTTGTCGCAGTGTGGGAGAGGTGAATCGCAGAATCGCGCCGCACAAATTTAGTTACAGCAGCGAATTTGAATCCTCGTGGAGTAAGTAACTCTCTCTCGATTTTCACGCGCACGATGAATCTTCTTCTGACGCACACGCCGAAAGCTGCAGTAAACAAAACTCTGCCAGCAATTCGAGACACGGTATGAATGACTGTGAACGATGTCCATCGCAGCAGGCTGATGATGTAACACAATTGAATCCGTAATGGGATTGCAACGACGCGATCGATGATCGGAACATTCAACCACAATGTTGAAGATTTCAAACAATCGGGGGAGAGAGAGAGAGAGAGAGAGAGAGACGATGGAAGCTCATCGAGTAGTAGTAGCAGTAGCTAATTGTCAGTATGCCGTTGCTATCCTGCAGACAATAAACCTTTGAATTCCCCGATCGTGGTCATGCTCGGACGCAATCGCAGCTTCAGAGAGGTCGAGCCCGTGGTTTGCGAACAGATTTCGCGATTGCGTCGGATTGGGGGGTCGAATTTGGGTTCTTACGTGTTGGGTGGGAGTGTCGCAGGGAGAATTGGGGTGGGATTGGCGAGGAGGCCATGGAATTGACGGGTGGGTTGATTGGGAATTGGTAGCACAGGATGTGAGGATTAGCTTTTGGTAGGAAGAAGACCACAGGAATTGCGTGGCGTGGAGAACGGGGCGCTGTTGGATGCGGCATCGGACGGCGCGAGAAACGATCTCATGAACTACTTGTTCCTTTTCTGCATCTGTTTCATTCCGCTGCTCTCCGTTCGATGGTCACGCGTGAGCGTGAAACCCCTCGATAGCACTCCTCCTAAGTTCCAGCCCTCGCCGTCTCCGATAAGGAGTGGCACTAAACCCCCCGCACCGCCATCGCCAAGTATGTTCGCGCGAATGCTGGGCTTCCGGAAGCCACCTCCCCCCTCTCCGCCCCCGAAGTCCTTCTTCCAGCAATCCGTTGTTGTAGCGCCACCGCCGGCAGTGCAGGGGAAGTCCAGCTGGTTTAGGAGTAGACGCAAGACGCCGTCCATGGAATCGAAGCGGAGCCCGACGCCGTTGTCGCCCTCGTTGCCGGCCTCGGTCGTTCGCCCGCCGCTGCGGATGGATGCCAATGCGGTGGCGCAAGTGGACACGAACGAGGTGGTGACCATGACGGGATTCTTGGGCACTGAGGGGTCGAATGTGGATACCGACTTGGTGGTGCTCATGACGCACATCCAGGCGGCGTGCAAGCACATTGCCTCAGTGCTAGCTTCGCCTACTGAGCTTCAGACTACCATCTCAGGCGCGGATGCCACGCACGGGGCCGGCCGGGACGCGCCCAAGCCATTGGACATTGTTTCGGTGGGTTATGGCGATTCTTTCTTTGTTTCTCTCGGAAGTAGATGGAGTCCTCCACGTGAATCTTATCTCCTTGTGCAATTCCCCGTTTGGGTTGTCTTTGAGAAGTCCTAGAGGATGGCGCGTTTGTTGGCGAATTGGGCTGCTGAGACTTCTCGTATTGCACTAGATTTACGACTTCTTGGTCTCAGTCTCCTCTTCAAATAATTTCTGCTAATCTGCAAAGTATGGTAGGCTTTCAGAACACATTGGAGTTGAATTCTCTTTGGTAGCTTGTAGTCCGTGGGATTTCCATGGCTTATTTTCGGTTTTGATGGTTTGAGTCGTTGGGTTTGATCGTTTACCACTTATGTGAGTTTACCATTTCATCATATTATCCTGGCGATCATCTGTCTCTTGTTGTCGTCCACTTTCTTGTCGTCTATGTGGAGATAGAGGGGCTGCTACTTTCATGTCCCTAATTGTAACGTAGCACACACGTTGCTGGCAGGCAGAACAACATAATTAAGGCGGCTCTGCGGAGCTCAGGAAAAGTTGCTGCCATAGCCTCCGAGGAAGACGACCAGCCCATCTGGTTCGGAGAGGGACCCTACATCGTTGTCTTTGACCCCCTCGATGGCTCTCGCAACATAGATGCATCCATACCGACTGGCACAATTTTTGGGATTTATCATCGGTTGCCTGAAGCCGATCACTTACCCACAGAGGAGAAAGCATTTGTCAATGTGATGCAGAGGGGGGAGAGACAGGTTGCTGCGGGATACGCGCTCTACTCCTCTGCTACCATAATGGCCATCTCTGTCGGGTCAGGGCTGCATGGATTCACCTTGGACTACAACCTCGGGGAGTTTGTGTACAGTCATCACGACATTCGAATCCCTGAAAGAGGTAAGCAGGGAGCTGTGATCCTCCATGAATTTTTCTTCAGGCTTGAAGGTTAGGGTAATGTATTCAAACTCCAGAGCTCAAATGAGGTTGCCATCTCTGTGCAGGTCAGATCTACTCTGTCAACGACGCAAGGTACTTCGACTGGCCAGCCGGATTACGGAAGTACATTGATACAGTTCGACAAGGGAAGGGCCAGACGCGGAAGCAGTACTCAGCTCGCTACATCTGTTCGTTAGTGGCCGACCTCCACCGCACTATCATGTATGGCGGGATTGCAATGAACCCGAGGTCGCATTTGCGACTCTTGTATGAGGCTAACCCTCTGAGCTATCTGGTGGAGCAAGGGGGTGGAAAGGGAACCGATGGCAAACGTAGGATACTGGAGATCAATCCCGTTGAAACCCACCAGAGGTTGCCGCTGTTTTTGGGCAGTGCTGCAGACATTGCTGAGCTCGTGAGTTATGGGGACATTCAGCAGGAGAAGAACCCCGGCTACACGGTTTGATCTTTGCAGTGCAGGGGTGAAGTGATTTGAAGTCAATGATTGATTCACTTAAATGTTGAACTCGGAACTCTCATAGAGCTATCTAGAACTCCACTGTAGGGTATTGTCCAAACTATAGATTTTCTCTTAGCACATCTGTGCAGATATGTAACCAATTTTTTTTTTGTCTCCCAAGGTTATCTCATTTGATATATATTAATACATCCAGAATTAATCCATAGATGTTCCGTTCATAAAGAGTGGCATCTGCTTGTTGTGTGACCAACAGCGTTAGATTTTGGAAGGATTCTGTTGGCCAGCTCTAGTAATTCACAACGTTTGCTACCTCTCTTGATTCTCAGATTTTCTTGCGATCTACATTCAGCCATCGCACTTCGCATGTGTAACCTCCACCGACAGTTTTATTATTAACCTCTACAAGCTTTACTAGCTCTGTCTGTCATAGTTCTCTGCCCAACTTCCACTGGTTTGACACCCCTTCAAGCCTAGGTCGTGTATCAGTGACCATTTGAACATCCATTCTAGTGCGACGAGCCACCCTTTCAAAGGTGTCACGGTTGCTCACTATGCGAAAGCTCTAAGAAATCCTCAGTGGAAGCTGCCGAGGCCAGGTTTGAATCCACTGTGGGAAGACATTACTAATATTGTGTGTTCTGTAAATATTTGTAGTCGCTCCTCTGCGTTCTGCTCACAGTGTGAAGTTGAAAGATGCCTGGAAGCAGCTGTTGTGCACAATTTTTTGGAAGCGAGTATGTCTATGCACGTGATTTTCGTGTGAGGTCTGTCATGGTGTTGTCTTCAGCCCGTTCAATACTTGTATGGTAATGTCGGCGATCGTCGCTTTATTACATCAATCTATATAATTTACATGTGATTTAAAAATTTGATTTTCAACTGGATTGATGGTAAGCTCTCTTGAATAGCATCCTTTAACAAGTGTTTACGGACAGGGTTTGAGGGTGAGGCTTCTGCATGGACGAGGCTTTCACAGATGTGCTCACTTGGCTGATGGGACGCTTTGTTCATATGAAAATGGTATTTCCATGACTAGAGCTGGCGATTTCTTCTGAAGTTGATAAGGATGCGTGCACCTTCAATGTCATCAGTTATTCAAATGGTCGCTGTGTTGATACCCTCAAGAATCCCGTTAAGAATCATAGTCCCTGGAAGAAATCCCTTGGGTTTGATGCCAAATTCAGCGGAAACAAACATGCCGAAACACTGGAGATCCAGCTGCAGCTTCATGTCAAGTCGTAGACACACAGATGTTTCTTTACGTCCAGGGCATGAATTTCAGTGCCCCAGTTTCTCCTCTTCACAGTGCACATCACATTACAAGTATAGGATTGCAACACAGTGTATTGTATTAGGGACAGTAACTCACAAATTCCATCAACAACTTCGCCATGAGCATTCCAGAACATTGCACTGGCAACGTCTCTTACGTTATGTCACCACAACCTGTCTCTCTCAAATTTCACCAACTGATCAGATCTGTCAGCTAGTTGTCACCGCATCGAGAGCTCTTCAGCTTCATGCAATTGCCTCCACCACAGGGAGGAGAGCGTGTTGTTTCTACTTCCTCTCTGAAGAGATCTGCACATACTTCGACTCGTCCACGCTTTGGCTCATCATCTGAGAATGTGATATACCATTCGATCCTTGGAGTCCTATATTATCCACAATCTCCTGACCTAATTGCACTTTTCTCACACATTCTTGCTGAGGAACGGAGACATCTTCTTCCGTGTTTCCTGTCTGTAGTGGTGCTAATTTCAACTCCAATCTCGAAGATGGTGTGGGGATTATGATGCAAAAGAAACGCACCCAATTCAGGGTTGACTGGAAAACATGAACAAGCAGAACTCAACTGATTTGCTATGTTTCAAGACTATTCCATAGAAGCAATTCTCCAGCTTGACCTAATGTCAATTGTAAATTTTTTGACATTATTCAATCGTGAAACTTACACAGTTTTTTAAAACACTACAGAATGAAGGGTAGCGAGGTTCCCTATCTAAACAACCCACAAAGTGGTCGTCAAAAACTTGTTATGAAATAGAATCGTCAAAAACTTGTTATGAAATAGATTAAGGTTAAATGCCTTCCAAGTGCCTGAATTAATATAGTAGTTTTTGATTAGTCATCTGTGAAGTTTAATAAGCTTGTGATTCAAGTTTGCAAATCATGATCCATAAGACAAGGTATAGATGTTGAAATTGATGTTGCTGCTTGTTTGTAAATGTTCTTTTAAACCCAAATTATTTGGTTTCAACTAGGATGAAGTGCTTTATGTTTTTAAAAATTAGTCTTAATAATATATGCAATTGTGTACATAAGTCTATCATTTTCAAACGAGATATTTTTGTCGTATCTTGTTATGTCCATAATAAATATGTCAAATATTCTCTGATATATATTATGAGATGCTTTAAAGATCGAATTTCCTAATTAAAGTAGAGAGGTTTTTAGTATGAAGAACATGTGGTAAATTTCTTGTTAATAAAAAATTCATTACTTCACCAAATTTAGTGTTTTAGCATTATAGATATAGTCAATATGTGAGCAATTCTAGAATAAATTATATGAAATACATTTTTAACTTAGCAATATTTTTCTTATACTATTTATATATTTCCATTAGACATAATAAATTTTTCTACTCCACTTTTATTTGTGGGATAAGCTCTTGCAAATTGGCACATACTTTAGAAAAAATATATGATTTTAATATCTATGTGTTAATTTCTTTGTAAGATATGAAATTTTTACTTGATAATTGTTCCAAGGTCTCTACATGCATGTAACAAATACATATAAAACAAGAATTGTTTGCTACTTTATCCAATTTTAAGATTTTTTTTTTTTTTTTTTTTTTTTTTTTTTTCCACCTAAGGAATTACATTTTTGATTGTTATAAGAGCAAAGAGATTAAACTACACGAACAAAATCTATATAATTTTATGATGTGAAGCTTCTTTAAGATAATATAAACATTTAGTTTTGATCCACTTTTAAATCTCTCTTACTAAAAACATCTAAAATGAGAGTTGTTACTAGTAGTTGGAATGTATCCAAAGCAATAGAAATACCATGATTGATTAAGGTGGACATCATAGAATGACAAGTGCATATATTATTTAAATTAATATAAATAAGTAATAGTAGGTAGAAACATATTAGGTATATATTATTTTCTAAAAATATTAAGAAAGCTTTCTAAATACAAATAATAATTTAAAATTCTTTTAGATATGCCCTATGAGTATGAAGAACTTGTTCTACAAATATGACAAGTATATATATTTTTTCTTTTCTTCTTAGGATATTTTGGCTATTTTTTCTAAAATATATACCAACTAAGCGAGTCTTCTTAATTTTAGAAAATTAAAAGTTTTTAAAGTTATATCTTGTCTCTTGAGTATAAAAATTCCTTGGATTTTCAACTTGTTCTACAAATTTTATACAAGCTGCCATATTTATACAAGTGATAAAAAGAATGATTTGGTTTATTTCATGGCTTCTTCTTTTCACACTTTGTACTACACCCAAAAGTCAAAACTTTTAAAAGGAATTTTCTTTCCAACTAAGTGGAAAAGTTTCTAAATAATAAAAAAAGGAAAAAAGAAAAGAAAAAGGAAAAAGACCCTATCATACACTTTCATTTGTATTCTCACTTTCACTTGTATGTGTGTGTCTCTCTCTGCTTTGTGCACTCGTGTCCCAATTGCCGAAGGCTCTCTGACGATCGATCCAGTGAGACGATTGTGTATTCCGCACAGCAAGCATTTGGCTTCGAGTGGAAGTGGAACAAGGCCATCTTCGCCCACACTTCTCATCCTGCTTGATGCTGCTGCGTGTGGTTGCAAGCTACCAAACATGGCGCCCAGGAAATCATCGTTTGCGAAGTTTATGTTCGAGACCTACGGCGTTGTTGTTGTTCCACCTCTTTCCGAGGTAGCTACTAACCTCAAGCTGCTGGACATCCTCATCCAGCCTTCGAAGGGACTATGGAAACCGGTGTTGGAGAGAGCTGGGTCCATGGTTGAATTGGGGAGTTATGCTGAGCCTGGTCTGGAAACCGAGAAGACTCTGCGAGAGCTGCTCAAGGAGATCGAGGAGGATGAAGGTAATTGAGCTCTGTAGTATCGATTTTTTTTTGTTTTTTTTGTTTTTTTATAGTTTTTCACTCGCTGTGGGGTTGTGCAACCGACTGGCTGTTATTGTTGTGGCAACTGATGTTTCGAGATTGGGATGACATAGGGAGCCAGACTGGGCTATTCAAGTGGGTTGAAGGGAATCAGAGCATCAGTGAGACGTTCAAATCAGCGAAATGCTTGACAGGCTCCATTCTGACTGGCGTGGCGGACGTAGAGCTGGCTCCGTTGTCCAAAACCAAAACACTGACTTGCACACTGGAGAATCTCAGAACCGCATGTGTGGACAAATTTTATCTTGAGGACATCATAGCAGATCGTTCATGGTTTCCAAACCTCGCACACCACCGACTAGAGCGGTTGGTGCAAACGAGATGTTTCCCGAGCTTTCTGTCTAGGTGGTTACATTCTGCCCTTGAGAGTTTCATAAAGCGCCATGGACTCGATTAGCAAGTGTGAAAATACATGTTGAGATTGGATGTGGTTAATCAGACAAAGCTAAGCGTGGGGTCCAAAGCAGAACAGTGTGTGTTTGTTTGTTTTGTTTTTTTTTTCCAGCATCTTCCCGCATGATTAGGTCAAACCTGGACCAGGTGTTACCCGGTTAATACACACTACGAAGAACGGTTTAAAAACCTATCGATCTGTGATGAATGACAGGACCGTCAAGATGTGGGTGGTGTATCAACTACTGTATGTCACGAAAGTGGTTGTGGAAGAAAGCAATTCATTCTCGCCTGGTTTGAAACTAACTTCGGAGGGCGTTCTACTGCCACCACCCCTTGTACCAGGGGTGGGAGGAACAGTGTCCCTGGAATCCAACTCAAGTTTTGTGGACCAGGCACATTCGGGGAAGAAGATGGTGCTTGGGTTCCGAGCGCTGCCTTTTGAAGTGGATTGCCACAAACTGGCCGCTCCACTCAGACCACAGTTTGCAGGTGCTCCTCTGAGATATCAAGCACTCATTCCCCCAGCACAATATTTGCATCATATTGGTCGGGATGATTCCGCATATCCAATAATTCCTGACATTAGAGCAGACGTGGGAGCATCTGATGTTGAAGCAGATCTCGGAGGTGGGGATGAGGCAGAGTTTGGCAACATGCTGTCCTTGTTCAGGCAATTTTTCCAGGCCGACGACGACGACGACGATGCCGAAACCGAACACTATGGCAAGTTTTTTGATTTAGAGCCTTGTGAGATACGCCTCAACCTTGACGACACTCAGCTTTAGATTACTGTTTAGTGGAACATCCTCCTCCTGCACTCACACTCACCAAGTCCCATCTCTGCATTTCCTCATGCATGATTTTGTCATTGAATTGGAAATGCTTCCACTATTTCAGTGGATTTTGTAATGTTCTTACAGCGAGGTGTACTATTTTGTTGAGAATTTCAGATTTTAGGTGTGTTTGAATAATTGTACATCGAAAAAATTGATCACAAGGAATTATGGAAAATGGCATATCTCAAGATGAGATTGATGTTAGCTTTGATTTTATTTAATTTATGGGTTGTAATATTTTCTTGTGTATTTTATGATTTTTTGATTGTCTCATTGTGTTTTGACACAATTTTATTTTGTTGCCAATTACGGTCCTTTTTTTTTGAAGTATTAAGAGAAAAATGTCATATTTATTTTATTTTATTTTATTTTTAATAAATGATTCATGATATTCATTGAAAGCCAATTAATTTAGCCAAAATTTAATTTTATTATAATAAAGTTTATATAAGATTGATTGGTTTTCTAAAATATATACTAAGTTTATATAAATTTTGTCATAGGCATAAATCTAGATAAAACTTTGAAAAGACAATATAATCATATATTAATTTTAAAAAATTAAGCAAAGAAAAATAGAAGATAGATAAAGAATAAAAAGGCTATTTTGAAATATATAAAAATTATGAATTTTACATTAAGACTAAAATACAAGAAAGATGTTGCTAAGATTGAAGATGGCCTTAGTCTTGATTTTCTATTTATTTATATATATATATATATATATATATATTACTTTCTAAGAAGGCTTTTAAGAACCATAATGCTTGTGGTTTAAACAACTAAGTTGTAGGTTGTTTTCTATGCAAGTTTTAGCTTTTAAAAGTAAAGAAATTATAGAATAAGTTCCAATGGCCACATGGTATATTTAAAGAAATCTTAAGATCTAATTTATGTAAAGAATTTCTTTTGTTTTGTTTTTGTTTTTGTTTTTTTTTTGTTAGTTGATAAAGATATTATCTATTAAATAGAAATTTAGTTACTTCTAAATAGCCAAGAATATAACCATTATTATTTTCTGGCGGATAATGTTTATCCTCTATAGGATTGCTTTATTCAATCATTCACCAATTTGGTGATGAGAAACAAAAGTACTTTGCAAAAAAACAAAAAGCATGTTGCAAAGATATAAGACAATACTTTAGATTATTGCAAGTTCATTCCAAAATTATTTGCCACTTATATTATCAATAGAATATGGATACCATTATCAACATTATATTTGTATGATGCATCTTTTGCAACATAATTTTGAAGGATAAAAATGACGAGCTAGGCTTTGAAAATATCATTGTAGGGCTAATTGATAAGAATGTGCTATTATATAGGAGTTTATTTTATTTTATTTTATTTTATTTTTAAGAGGTCATGACATATATACTTAAGATAGAACATAAAGATATCTATTAAAGTTTAACATGTGACATCATTGAATACTTGTAAGCTTTAAAAGGCATAAGCACATATGCTTAAACTTTATTATTAATAATAATGCTTATAGAGGCTTAATCCTACATTAACAATTTTTATATATCCATCTAGATCAATTGTTTGTGAATTATGAAGAGCTTCTAAAGCATATTAAGTTTATAAATTCTATTAATTCTTATTTAATATATTTCAAGTTGTTGGCTACTATAAGTCAATATATATTATATTTTCTTATTCTACTCTCTTCTTTACATGCTTCTATTATCCATAATTCACTATAAAGAACTTTTATAAATTTTTTTCATTGTTCCAACTTTCTATATGTTTATATTATCTATTCCAACTCTCTCAACTTTCTAGCCATCTTTTACCATCCATCAAATGCATACCTACAATCCTACCAATGGAATATCCTTTGTCATGACTATGGTCTAGCTCATTATCTTAATCTTGGTCTTTATTTCTAAACTATTGCCTCTCTTACTCCTTTGTTGCAACCAAAGGGCTTTTCTCCCTTTGTTCTTCTACCACAATGGTTTCTTCTTTATTGCACCTTCTAGCTCAATTTGCATTAAGTAGCTTCTTATCCTCTTCTTCAATCTATCATTTTTGAAACTTCTTTAATTTCTTTGATTTTTTCAATTAAAAATATAGTAGTACCTACAGATCTTTTAAGGTAGCATCATCCATAAACATAAAAAAGATAAACTTTTTTTTGATTATAATTATTATCTTCAAAATTTGTACTTTTTTATCTTATATGTGGCATGCACTTCTTTGTAAAACGCCCATTTTTTCTACTTTCATTGTAGTTGGTAGACTTTGGTTGCTTTAGTATTTTTTTAGTCGGCCCTTAAATATCCTCTATATGTTTACAATCTCTATATTATCTTACTTCAATCCCATTTTATTATCATGTGCTAATACAACTATGTGGTGAAAAATAAAATAAAAATAGATGTTATAATAGAAGAGCCTAATAAAAAGATGTAGTAGAAAAAAATAATAAATTATAGAAAGATAATAAAAAATTTAGTCTTAATGGTACTTTTTGTAGAAAAGACTTCTATTTAATTTGTACACACATAAATGAACCAAATCAAAGTAAATCAGATAAGAAATTAATATAGTCATATTTAGAAGATAATTAAAAATAAGTTAAAGTAAAACTTACCTCAAATTATTAAAAATTAATATCTAAAGAGGATTAGTTGTCAACTTGGATCAAAATCAGTTCCTAAGGCACAAAATTGTTCATCTATAATGATTTTAGGATTCTTTTGCAAATTAAAGAAAAGGATTTGAGAGAAGACTTTATAGAATTTCTTTGAGAATTATTTTTGGACAAATTGAGATTATAATAACTTTGTAAGAACTTAGCAAAGTCAAGATTGTTTTTGGTGAATTTGATTTTTTGAAATAAATAAAGGATTTACATTTAAGAGACAATTGTGAGTTTGGTATTAGATCTATGGATGAAAATTTGTGGATTTGTGATTACAATTATTTTTATTGTGTGTTATAAATTTGAGTATGATCAAATGGTTAGATTAAAGAATATTGAAGTTGAAGTAGATTGGAGTCTCAAAAATGGGATTTTGAGGGTTAGTGAAGGTTTCTAAGATCTTTAGCAATTTGCTAATTGGATTGAGATAAAATTTGTGTATGTGGGTAGTAGACTTGATTTCCAATATATATGTGAATTTTGAAAGGTATTCAATAGTGTAATTAAAAGATTTTGGCCTGAAGAGATTGGAATCAAGATTGGAAAAAGAGGCTAGTCAACACCTAAGCAAATTTTAGGATTTATCATCTATTTGGTATATGAGATCTTCTTCAAAAAATTTTTACTTGTTGTCAATTTAGTTTTTATAAAATATGAAAATTTTAGATCAAAATCAATAGTTTAATTATTTATTATTTAATTTTTAAGCTGCTATAGGATTATTAAGAATTTTTTTTAAGATTTAGGATTTGATTAAATTTTGATTAGTATTGATTTAGGATTTAAGATTTTATTAGGATTTTATTAGAATTTAGGAGTTTTTTACGATTTAATTAAGATTTGGGATTTTATTTGGATTTGAATTTAATTAGGATTTGATTAAGATTTGACTAAAAATTATTTAAGATTTCATTGGGATTTATTAGGATTAATCTAAGGTTCAGTATTTTATTTTAGTTTAATTAGAAATTATTTAAATTGATCTAAGATTTAGAATTTTATTATAAATTTATTAGGATTTGATCTAGGATTTGATTAAGATCCATTAAGATTTTAATGAGGATTTGATCTAAGATTATATTATGATTTATTAGGATTTCAATCAAGATTAAATTAGAATTTTATTAGTATATATTTAGGATTTATTTAAGATTTTTATTTTTAATATTTCTTTAAGATATTTTTATTTTTTAAAAGTTTTTATTTTTATTATTTTAAAGATTATTATTATTTCTTTAAAGGTTTATTATTATATTTCTATAAGAGTTCTTTTTATTTTTAAAAAAAATTAATTTAAGATTTCTTTGTATTTCTTTTGTAACTTCTTTTAAATTTATTTTGGATTTGTTAAAGTTTGATTAGAGTTATTAAGATTTATTTAAATTTTATTTAAGATTCTATTAGGCTTGGTAGAATTGTTGTTGTATTTCTATTTACCTTCCACAGCTAGGTATCTAGTACATTCTCAAGCAAGAATACATATAATACAACATTTCTTGTTTAGCTTTCATTTCTCTTCATCTTATCAATGCAATGAAGCTTTGAGGCACATTATATAGGTACATTCACCTTCAAAGTTGAAGGCTTTATTTGTGACCACCTATTAATCTATTTTGGATGCTCCTTCACTAAAATCCATCAATGCTTGTATCCAAAATTTGTCTTCTCTTTTTTGTATACAACTCATATATAAGTCTTAATGTATCAGCTATATTTGTACCACATTTGCATAATTTTTGCACTCATGCATAGATACAAATCTACATACTCCCGTTGTATTTCATGTTGCTCCATTTCTTCTCCAAAGAATATAATAGTCTTATACCTACTCACCTATACTCATCAAAGTGATCTCAAATGTGTTTCCAAAATATCCCAACTATTTGTTGATTGTCAATAATCCTATGCTACATCACATATAATACATTGCAATATAATTGATCTTCTTTTTTATAGAAATATATCACATTCTTCTTGTTGTTATCTACAATACATTGAGTGCTACAAACTAATTATAAAGTATGTAATCTAAACCAAATACAAATACACAACCAACAAACTTTCAAAGAAAGATTAAAAATCTATGCTAAATTACATCAAGGTATCTTTCACACCACAAAGAGAGAATCAAAGAGTGCAAGTGTGGAAATAGAAAAAAATCCTAAGCTTTATCAAAAGGACTAAATCACCATAGCCAAGTAAAATCTTATAATAAATTTTCTCTGTATCAAAAATCACTCACAAGACTTGACTAAAAAAAGATACCAAGTCAAAGATTTTTTTTCCACCTAAGTATTCAAATCTTAGTTGATATTAACAAAGTCAATTAATGAAAAAATATTAATAGATAAAAAACTACTAACCAAACTAAATTACATACATTCAACAAGATTTGGCATCCAATGCTATATTACATGACAACTATTTTGTAAACAAAGATTATTACATACAACACATTGAATACTAAAAATAAATTACAAAATATATAATTTAAACAAAATACAAATATACAACCAACATACTCTCAAGTATTTGTCCTAGTTGATTAGAAACCCCTTTAATTAGCTAGAATCATAAAACA